TTCCTATGGCAGCCAAAGCAGCAAAAGCGGAGGCTGACACCCTTAGAAATAAGGTGGAAGAGTGTAGAGAAAGAGAAAGAAACAACAGAGATGGAGATTTAATGCCAAATTATTGAGCGATAAAGAATGTGTAAAAAAACTTAAAGAAGAAATAAAGTCCTTTTTCAAGGAAAATGAAAATCATGAAAACCTCGTGAAATAGTATGGGACGCAATGAAGGCCTACTTAAGAGGGGTTGTGATATCATACAGTGCATATAAAAGTAAAGAAAAAAGAAAGTCCCTGGAAGATTTTTTAAACCACTTAGGAGAAGCGGAAAGAAAACTCCAAGAAAACCCGGGAGATGAAACAGCAAAAGAAAGTTGGCTGATGTGGAGACACAAACTGAACATCATTGACCAAGAGGATTTAGCACAAAAAATAAAAAGAATGAAACAATATTATTTTGAAAATGCCAACAAGTCGGGCAGGTGGCTAGCCTATAAATTAAAAAAGGAAAACGAAAAAGGGACAATTCATATATTAGAAGATTCCAAGGGCAAGTTGTTGAACAAAGAAGAGGACAAACTAGAAAGAGCTAGGGAGTTTTATGAGATTCTATATAAAGAAGAGGAGGTTCCGGAAGGAAAAATAGAGCAATATTTGGCAAACGCAGAGCTTCAGCAAATAACAGAGGAAGAGAGAGAAATGCTTAATGGAAAGATAACAGCTGAAGAACTAAAAACAGCTCTCTCTAAACTTAAAAACAATAAATCGCCAGGCCCAGACGGATTCCCAGGGGAAATATATAAAAAATTAGAAGAAATATTACAACCAAAATTAGTGGAAATTTTCAACGATGCATTGACGGGTTCTAAAATTCCAGAATCGTGGAAGGAAGCGCATGTCACACTAGTGCCGAAAGAAAGTGCCGACTTAAAACAAATTCAGAACTATAGACCAATTTTCCTTCTAAACACTGATTATAAGCTATTTATGAGCATAATGGCAGAAAGAACCAAAAAAATACTAAATACTTGGATACACGAAGATCAAAATGGATTCCTTCCGGGGAGGCAAATTAGAGACAATTTGAGAACTGTGTTGGATATCCTAGAATATTATGAAGAACACCCCGAAAAACAGATGACCTTAGTTTTTGTAGATGCCCAAAAGGTATTCAATAATTTAAATTGGAAATTTATGATTAAACAAATTGAGGTAATGGAATTTGGAACAAATTTTGAAAAGATGATAAAAACTATCTATGATAATCAAAAGGCGAGCATTCTAGTAAACGGAGACAGGACAAAAACATTCCAGATTAGAAAGGGGGTAAGGCAAGGATGCCCCCTGTCACCATTATTGTTTATTTTGGCCCTAGAAGTCCTGCTACGGAAAATCAGAAATAACAAAGAAATAAAAGGTTTAAAGATTAGGAAAGAGGTTTATAAAATGCAAGCATTTGCGGACGATGTAGCCTTAATCTTAGAAGACCCTATAGAATAGGGACAAAAAGTGCTAGAGGAATTGGGCAAATATGGAGAGGTGGCAGGCTTTAAATTGAACAAAACTAAAACCAAAATATTGACCAAGAATGTAACCGAGGTACAGAAGAAAGAGATAGAAGAACTGCTGGGACTACAGGTTGTTAAAAAAATAAAATATCTAGGAATTTGGATAACCACAAGGTGTTCGTCCTTAAAAGATGATAATTATACCCCTTTAATTAGGAAAATGAAACAAGACCTGGATAGATGGAAGAAAATAAAATTGTCACTTTAGCCGCGATTAAGATGAACATCTTCCCCAAAGTACTATTTCTATATCAAAATATACCGGTGAACTTAGATAAAAAATTTTTTTCAGAACTAAACAAAATTATTAGGGAATTTGTATGGGAGGAGAAAAAGCCGAGGTTCTCTCTTAAAATTTTAAAGGATAAAAGAGATATAGGAGGATTTGGACTTCCCGATTGGGAAACATATTATAGGGCAACTAAGCTAGTTTGGATAAGAGATTGGGCCACCCTGGAAAATAAGAGGATTTTAACCCTAGAAGGCCACGATCTGCAAAGAGGGTGGCACGCATATCTATGGGACACAGAGAAGAATAAGAAAACATATTTCCATAGACATAAAATTAGAGATTCATTGATACAAACATGGACTGGAATTAGGCAGAGATATTATTAAAAAGTCCCAAGATGGCTCTCCACGATGGAGGCCTTGATCTATCCCAATAGATGGGGAATGGAGAAAATGTGTAAGTATAAAGACATCTTAGACGAAGGAGGAAATCTTAAATCTAACAATGCCTTGAGGGAGGAAGGAATAAATTTAGATTGGTGGACCTATCTACAAATAAAATCCAGGTATCAGAAAGACAAAGAACAATGCGGTTTAGAACTAGGATATAATGGGCTGGATAAAGTCCTGATGGGAACAGGTAAAAAGATTCTGGCTAAATTATACAATTATTTATTAGATGAAGATAGAGCTGAGGATATAACAAAGAACCAAATGAGTGCATGGGAGAAAAATATTGGACACGACATAAATTTTAATGAATGGGAAGAGGCATGGAATAAGAACTTTAAATTGACCAGAGCCGCGACATATAAGGAAAAACCATTATAAAATGCTCCACAGGTGGTATTTAGCCCCGGCTAGGCTAGCAAAGATGTATCCTAACATACACCCCAACTGCTGGAAATGTGGCTATGGTCAAGACACCTTCTTTCACACGTGGTGGACATGCCCTGAAGCAAAAGGATATTGGAGTAAGATTAGGGGATGGCTAAAGAAATAATTGGGGAAGACATTGAATTGACACCGGAAATATTTCTCCTGGGAATAGTAAAGAAGCCATATGGAAAGGAAAAGAATCATTTAACAATACATATAATTACAGCTGCTAGATTGGCCTACGCACAATATTGGAAAGAGAAAACCCAGCCACCAGAAGAACTTATAACTAGGAAAATACTGGAGTGCGCAGAGATGACCAAACTAACCCATGAAATAAACGATGATGAAAATTCAGAATACTATACCGTGTGGGGAAGGTGGTATGAATGGATGAATGATAGAGTGAAAGGAAGAGAAAAAGGTGTGTTAAATAAAAGCAAAAAGTAGCCTAAATGACACCAGGTATATATTTTGTACATATGTATAAACACTGCACATCCGATATTAATGGAAATGTTAATTTATATATGTTTATAAATTCAATAAAATTTCCAATAATTTCATTGTTTTCAAGATGTCTCAGATTGGTCACTTTGATTGTACTGAAGGCCTCAGATTGGTCATTTTAATTGTACCGAATGCAATGCCAATGCATAACTTGCAATAGATGTAGCATTATTATTCTCCTGCTTGAAAATGGTAGCTGAACTGTAGCGGTAATTTTACTATATCTCACAAGAGAGCCAAAGGGTTTTTTAAATAGGATATTGGGAATGTTAACAACACAAAATAAATATATATATACTCTACAAAATGCATTTGAATGTTTGTGGACAAAAATTGGTGTTTGAGTAATTTGGTTTATGGGTCAATAATCTCCATTTTCTGTAAAAAGAAAACTAAGCTTCAGAGTGAATGCATTATGCAAATTTGATAACATGTTTTGGGCCCAGCCATGATATAATTGATAAAGAGGGCATTAAACTAAATTCTGTGATGATTAGCAATAGCAATAGCACTTAGACTTATATACCGCTTTAGTGTTTTACAGCTCTCTCTAAGCGGTTTACAGAGTCAGCATTCTGCCCCCAACAATCTGGGTCCTCATTTTACTGACCTCGGAAGGATGGAAGGCTGAGTCAACTTTGAGCCAGTGAGACCTGAACTGCCAAACTGCTGTTAGCTGGTGATCAACAGAAAGAGCTGCAATACTGCATTTTAACCACGGCTCTTAGAAACAAAATTAGAAACAAAAATTCAGAAGAAACAGCTTTAGATGAAATTGTATGTCCTGGGATAGAAAGAGTGAACAATGAATGAATGAGTTTATTTGTCTATTAGGTTTATTTATCCACTTCACGAAAAGAGACTGTGGGAGATTTACATTTTGTAGGAATATAAAGTAAGGAACAAGAAAATAAAATGCAATAAATATCTAGAATACCAAAGAGACCAAAAGTAACATAAGAACAGAAATAACAAAAACTACTAAATTACTGAGGTGAACCAAAGATTGATCAGAACAACTGCCATAGGATCTAACTACTATCTGTTTAGTCTAGTTTTGATAGCTAAAACAGTCAACTGTCCTTCCTCCCTGGTTCCTTAATGGCAGGTAAAATAGCCATTGCTTTCATATCACTGTTCTGTGACCAAACAAAACTGTTTTGTGAAAAGCTGACATAATAAAATGATAATATTGCGTAGGCCTTTTCTTTTAAATTCACATTTATATTATTTACAAAATTTCCATCCTGTCTTTCATTCAGCAATTCCAGGCAACACGCGCAGTGCTCCCTCCCAAGTACTTAATTTTTTTATTCTCCCCTTCAAGTACAAATGATTTTAATGGCATTAAGAAAGAAATTGTGAGTCAGTAGACAAAGAAAGGCAGAAAACTCTATTAAACGTGCTCTTAATCTGAACTGTAGAAATCTTCAGTGATAAATTACAAAGTAATTGTAATGTATAACTTAGAGGAGTGATTAAATGTGAAATATTGTCATAACTGAGAGATAGACAGGTGTTTTACATTTTAAAGAATATAAAATCTTTTCCAAAAGAAACAAAAGGGCTCCTATTTCCAAGACCTAAGTTCCAACATTCATCCTCTATATTCTCAACTGCAAGGAAGAATACTGCTTTATTGTTTAAATTGATTTCAGATGGCATAATTTCTTCAAGGTTACTTTGCCTAATGTAACATTGTTATAAAAATCATGTATATAAATCATTGTATTGACATTGCTAGATAACCAATAATAAGCAAATATTTATTTATAATGCTAAACAATAAAATGAAATCATTAAGAAATGTTTAAGAACTCCTACCAGGTCACTGCTAAATCATGAACTTTCAATGTGTTGCTCAGTCTATATATTCCAGACTTCAATGGCCGCACACATTTTTTTGCACAAGCAAGGTATGGATTTACTTGGATACCTTCAGGAAATTCTGAATCCTTAAATCAAAATAGAGTAAGAAAAATTAAAATTAACTAATTTATTTATTTTTTATTTATTTATTAGTCGCATTTCTATGCCGCCCAACTCCCTAGGGACTTTAGGCAGCTTACAGCAAAAAACAATGCGAACAATATCCCGTAAAATTTTTTTAAAAGAAAACATTAAAAACCCATACACTCCATTCCATGGCCAGGTCTCGCAAGATCGCCGTAGCAAGATCAACGGCCCTTGACCCAACAGGCTTTTTTAATAAATATTGCCTAGATTACATATATCTGATCTCGGATGGACCGAGTGCACCCCTCTTGGTCCTGTTAGACCTTCAAAGGTAGTTAATCCTATTGGTAAAATATTTGTGGCTATCTATACTACTTCTAATTCCACACCTACTTGTGTGGGCAGTTGCAGCTAGCAATCATGCAGTTTAAGGCACCCTGTTATTAAGCTGGTTATTAAGACCAGCTGCCTGCAATTACTGCAGGGTTCGAATCTCGCCAAGGCTCAAGGTTGACTCAGCCTTCCATCCTTTCTAAGGTAGGTAAATTGAGGACCCAGTTGTGGGGGCAATAAGCTGACTTTGTATAAATATACAAAAGGATGAAGGCTATTGCTGAGCACATTATAAGCCGCCCTGAGTCTTCGGAGAAGGGCGGCATATAAATCAAATTAAAAAAAAAAAAATTCTAAATTTATTACTGGAATACCACTACCACCACCACTCTTGATATATCTGGCTCCAGTTGTTTAAAAGAGCTCTGAAAGCCTCCTCTTTTCCTAGGCTTTGGGTTATAATGGGTGGGTGGTTATATATATAAAATAGGTTATATTTTAATCAGTGGTGGGATTCAAATAATTTAACAACTGGTTCTCTGCCCTAATGACCGGCTGGGTGGGCGTGGCCACACTGCACCCACCCCCGTGCCCCGTTTTGGGCCTAGTAGGCCTCCCTGCACTTACCTGGGAGCCCTGTAGCGCAGCAGACTAAAGCACTGTTATTAACATCAGCTGCCTGCAATTACTCCAAGCTCAAATCTCACCAGGCTCAAGGTTGACTCAGCCTTCCATCCTTTCTAAGGTAGGTAAAATGAGGAGCCAGATTGTGGGGGCAATAAGCTGACTTTGTATAAATATACAAAAGTATGAAGGCTATTGCTTAACGCATTGTAAGCCACCCTGAGTCTTCGGAGAAGGGCGGCATATAAATCAAATTAAAAAAAAAAAACGGGGCACGTGGGGATTTCTGGAAGGGGCGGAGCAGGCTCCCGGTGAGGCCAGCCAGCAATTTAACGACCGGTTCAGCCAAAGTGGTGCAAATCAGTTGAATCCCACCACTGATTTTAATGGTTACTTTTTATGGTGTTTGGTGGTTTTTTCTTTACTTTAATTGTATTGGATTGTATTTATTATGTCTTGTCCGGACTCATTGGGTAGCCTTATAAACTTGTAAAATAAATATATAAATAAGAACATCTGTACCTTTGGATATTTCTTGCTCATCTGTTTTGCTGGATCTTTGGCTGAATCATGTACATTAACGGCAGAATGCACTTTCTGTTCCTTGGCTTGTCTAAGTGCTCGTTGGGAAGGTCCCACTAATCCAGCCTCTCTATCACACCAATGACCAACTATAAGGCACAGACAATTTATTACAGAGAAGTATAGAAATTTAACAGAAAGAACATTATTGCAATTATTTAAGAACTTCTTTTTATACTACCCATTTAGCAGAACTTTTTTTTCCCCAGAATGGTAAACCACAATAGAAATTGTAATTTCTGTTCCATCAAATTATAGAAAACCTAAGTTGTATTGAGATCTAAATAGGTACTATAAATCCAATTATTCAGAACGTAATCTAATCTTGATTTCAGTACCTAACTAGGAAAAATGAGATTGTTTGTTTGTTTGTCAGTTTTATGTAGCTCTCCATCTCACAATCAAGTGACTCTCACAATAAAGCTAAAGAACAGATAATTAATACATAATAAAGCAATACTCATTATTAAAAACTATAAAAGGAAAGCTAAAAAAGAAGAAATATTAGGCAAGGCGGTATTAATAATAGTGGAACCTCAAAATATATTATAGGTATATTGCCACAACATGGCAATATCTACAACAGATGTATTACAGAATATAACTCATCAATCAATCAATCAATCAATCAATCGGAATAGAGCTGTAAGGGACATTGGAGGTCTTCTAGTCCAACCCCCTGTTCAAACAGGAGACTTTATACCATTTTAGATAGGTGGTTATCCAGTCTTTTTCAAAAACCTTGTATTAACTTTTTTGGCTGCTGCCACACACTGCTGGCTCATGTTTAAGTGATCGTCCACTAGGACTCAAAGATCCCTCACATAGTTATTGTTTTTGAACTAGGTTTCACCTACACTGTACTTGTGCCTTTGCTTTTTCCTGTCTAGGTGTAAAACCTTGCTTTTCTCCACATTAAATTTTCTGTTGTTGGATAGGGCCCATTGTTCAAGTCTGCAAAGATCTTTTTGGATCCTGAGCTTGTCTTCTGGGGTGTTCGCTATTCCTGCTAGCTTAGTGTCATCTGCAAATTCCCCTTCAATTCCCTTATCTAAGCCATTTATGAAGATTTTATTTTTTTTTGCAAAAAGTTTTTATTTTTTATTTTTCTTAGCACACAAATTACATCTTTTTGGAACAGAGCCCAGTCGTCAATTTATACAATTTTTTATCATCTTTAATAAAATTTTATACATTCTATTTTGCCATAATACTTATTTCTTAATCTTAAATCACCTATCTCAACTAATACCATCTTAAAAAGATTTATTCAAATTTACTTAATCAAAACAATTACCCTTCTATTAACCCCCCATAAATCTTAATTCAATTAATACCTCATAATACATTTCACAATTTTTAACCTAAATCCTCACTATTAACAATACTCAATCTTAAATCACCTATCTCCTCTATTACCATCTTATAAAAAGTTTACTCTTATTTATTTAATCAAAACAATTACCCTTCTATTAACTCACTTTAAATCTCAATTCAATTAATAACTCATAATACATTTCACAATTCTTAGCCTAAATCCTCACAATTAACAATACAGGTCACACATGTTTATGTTTCAAAATCTTATTTCCCTTTCTAAAACTTCCCCACATTTATTATTACTTCATGTAATGCTCATTAAATCTTTATTTCCTTATTACTTCATCAAGTTTAGATCCTATCTCTAATCCCAAAAATATAGCAATTTAATATTGAAACATAGTTCTTAATTCAAATAAAACTACAATACAATTTCAATCATTTCCCATAATTCTGTCTCTTTAACCATATCATTTATATAAAAAACCAGTTTAAGTAATTCTTATTTGTAATTCATAGTCCTATATTATTTCAATCTTCTTTTCTTTTTAGATAGATATATTATCAAAAACATTGAAAATATTAAAATATTAAAGTTATTGAAAATATTCAAATTATTGCAATTGTTATAGGTATTTAAACAATATCCCAGTTTTTATAGTCATCAATTATTCTCAAATAATACCATGTACCATCTTAATAAACATTGATTCATTATGTCCATTGATATATTTTCTTTTAGCATAGTCTATTTCTCATATATTATAGCTTCCATTCATATTTCAAGAGCCTTGATAGTACAGGGGTTTAGTGCACCCTGTAATTAACACAGCTGCCTGCAATTTCTGCTGGTTCGAATCTCTCCAAGGCTCAAGGTTGACTCAGCCTTCCATCCTTTCTAAGGTAGGTGAAATGAGGACCCAGTTTGTGGGGGCAATAAGCTGACTTTGTATAAAACATACAAAAGAATGAAGGCTATTGCTTAACGCATTGTAAGCCGCCCTGAGTCTCCGGAGAAGGGCGGCATATAAATCAAATTAAAAAAAAAAAAAAAAATTTAGTATCTGTAACATATTCTTCTCATATTTCTATTAACCATTATTAATCTTAATATAGTTATTTTATAAATCAAAGTCCTGGACTTTTCTATTTTACCCCATATTCCCCAATTCTTTCACTGTTAATCCCAGTGTAATCATCTTTATAACTATTGTTATTCACAATATCGTCTCTAATCGCATGACTATTGTAACACTCTCTACATGGGGTTCCCCTTGAGGAGCACCCAGAGGCTCCAACTGGCGCAGAGCGCGGCCGCGCGGGTGGTTATGGGAGCAACGTGGCGCTCCCGTGTGACACCTCTCCTGCGCAAGCTGCACTGGCTCCCGGTGGTCTTCCAGGTGCACTTCAAGGTTTTGGTTACCACCTTTAGAGCGCTCCATGGCTTAGGACCTGGCTACTTACGGGACCGCCTACTACCACAAACAGCCTCCCACCGGCCGGTACGCTCTCATAGAGAGGGGCTCCTCCAGGTGCCGTCAGCCAAACAATGTCGACTGGTGGCCCCTAGGGGGAGGGCCTTCTCTGTGAGGGCACCTACTATCTGGAACGAGCTCCCCCCGGAGATACGGAGGATCCCGGATCTGCGCACTTTCCGCTGTGCTTTGAAGACACTCCTATTCCAGCAGGCCGGCCTGGCCTAATTTTTTCCCCTTCTTTTAAATTTTTAAACTCAAATTTTAATTCGTTTTAAATTATTGGGAGTTTTAAATTGTCTCGGGCAAAAATTATTTAATTGGGTTTTAATCATGTTTTAACTTTTGTATTTATGTGTTTTATTTCGTGCCTGTTCACCGCCCTGAGTCCTTCGGGAGTAGGGCAGTATACAAATTTAATAAAATGAAATGAAATGAAATAAAAACCTCCTTTTTATTATTACTATCCACCTGTACATTACTTATTCATATTTAATCACGTTGTCTTTGTCTTCTTTATTTCCAGCTGTTGTGTCTTGTTTCTTCATTTTCTTGTCTGCTTGCGTATATTTCATTTCAGCTTCAATGTCCTCAAATTTTGTCCTCTATGTATCATTTTAGTTATTTTTCTTATTTCCATTCCAAGTCAAATACATCAGTTTGTTTCTTCTCTAATTCCTGCACAATTTTATTCTTTTTAAGTTGATGTTATCCCAATTATAAGAGTTCCATTGTGGTTTCCCCTTTTCTTCCCCCCCCCCAAGTCAAGCCGCCTGCAGACAAAGAAATCATCCTCCACAAATTCTCACGGTTGTTATCTGTAAAGTTCACGATTTTCCAAAACAAAAAAACAAATTGCAATGTTCCTTTTTACTCCAGAATGTGTCTCTCTGTAATCCACAATTTCCAATTGTTCAACAAGTATCCATTTTGTTTGTTACATAACAGTCTTACTTGGCTTCTCTTTTTCTTTTTAGTTTTAAAAGTATCAAATCTTTTTTTTAAAGTCCAGTCCAAATTTAAACTCTTTCCAATCCTTTGACCATGTCTCAATGTTTAACATTTTCAATTAGTTTTACTCATGAGTCAATTTTCTATCGGGACTTTGTCTCTTTAAAGTTACGTTTCAAAATCTTCTTTGCCCCCATGCTCCTTAGCCGCTATTTTATCGCTAGGGGTTTTGTAGTTAAAAGATGTTTCCTTTGATGTTATTACAAGCCTGGGTTGGCTGTCACTCACCCGGCTTCGAAAAACTCTGTTCCATTCCACTTTCCTCCTGCTCATTACTTGATCCGGTTGTCCCAGTTTCTTGGCAGCCGCCATGGCTGCCGCCCCCCGCCGCCGAGTCACAGAGAGTTCCCTCTGACCTTCGAGGAACTTGCCTGTTCCTCTTGGTTGTCCGAGGTGCCTCTCTTTCTTCCCCATCCCTGCAGGACGGTTCTGGTCCGAAGACCCATTGGCGGCAGTTCGTCAGCCGGGGTTTTCACAGGGCTCATCGGAACCCGCTAATTTCCCGACTGTCTCGCCGCGACACCAAACCGGAAGTCCATTTATGAAGATATTGAAGAGCATTGACCCTAAGACGGAACTTTGTGGTACCCCACTGCTTACTTCCCTCCATGTAGGCGTACTACCGTTAAGGACAACTCAACCACATTTTTCTAGCTTACCAAGAAGTAGGGTGTGGTCTACTTTGTCAAATGCCTTGTTGAAGTCTAAATATACTATGGCCACAGCATTTCGCTTGTCTACTAATTTAGTCACTTTGTCAAAGAATGAAATAAGACTGGTTTGGCATGATCTGTTTTTAACAAACCTGTACCGGCTAGTAGTTATTACCTTATTTGTTTCTAAATGTTCACAGATCGGTTTTTATTGTTTTTTCCAGTATCTTCCCAGGTATTGATGTTAGCTGATTGGTCTGTAGCAGGGGTCCTCAAACTTTTTGAACAGGGGGCCACTTCAGGGTCCCTCAAACTGTTGGGGGCCCAGACTGGCTAGGTGGGTGTGGTTGGGGGGCCCCATGTGACTGGGTGGGCATGGCTAGGTGTCCATGTGATTGGGTGGGCGTGGCTAGGTGGTCATGTAACTGGGTGGGTGTGGCTGGGTGGGCGCGGCCAATTTAGCAGTCCATTTTGCCAATTTAGCAGTCCATTAAATAATACACACAAATGGAACTTTAATTTGTTTTCCTCCTGGGAGTGTTTTATTTGCTTTTGTTTGACTTTTCTTTTTACTAGATTATTTTTTAAGTTGTTTACAAGTCTAGTGGTTCCCTTCAGAAAACTCAGTTT